TCTCTCTGCCCCCCCACTGCAGCCTTGCCAACCTGGTGACGCTGGAGCTGAGGGAGAACCTGCTGAAGTCTCTGCCAACGTAAGCCTCCAGGCCTTTTTTTTTTGTTCTTTACTCCCTGAAAACTCGTTATTTCTGTTTTTGTGTGTGTGTGTTTGTGTGTGTGTGCCTGCATACGTAAAGACTGTAAACGCTGCTCTGTGCGCAGGTCTCTTTCCTTCCTGGTGAAACTGGAGCAGCTGGACCTCGGCAGCAACGAACTGGAAGTTTTGGTGGGTCAGCATCTCCTCTCCCCTCACTGCCTGTGTGTAGCAGCCACCACTAGTCAAACTCTTCCTTATGAATGATGACTTGAGCCAGTAAGCTCTAATTGCCCTTTACTGTGGCTGTTCAACTCCATAAGGGCTGCTTTCTTCATGTAAATAATTGTAACGTTTGTAGCGACAAATAAATCAAATGCATTTTCAAGTAAATATTACTTTTAACATCAACTTATAAATGTAATTAGCAATTTATGAAGTTGCCTCTGTGACGTTAACAATGATAAATTCATGTTGTTGAACACAGAAATGAAGTAAAATGCGAACTCAATTAGCCTCTAACCGAAAACAAACTTGACACACAGAATGCTAGAGTAAAACCTGCCCTTCAAAATAAGAGCGCCTTGAAAACAAAGGTCCGTTTTGCTTGGTGCCTGAAAGGCAACGAGGCTTGCTTGCTGAGGATGAGCAGCGATGCCGTCAGCAGAGGCTAAGTGACACGTATCACCCGGCTCCCTCTCCTACCGCTGTAATTACGCTCCAAACCACATGTTTACCCGGCCGGCGCTGCACGCCAGACAGCGTGGGAACGCCCACCTGTCCCAGCAGCCGGAGCAAACGGCGCCTCGGGCCCCGAGGAGGGCCGACCCTAAACAAACAGCGACGTCATGATGAAACCTCGCCGACGCGTCCGTAAAAACTCGGCAGCTCCCCGCTCGTCTCTCAAGTCTGAACACGTCTCGTGAAATCCAATCAGAAAAACCCCCTTCCAGAGCCCCCCAAAAAAGAAACGTTGGCGTGTACCTGTTCTGTACCGGCCGATAAGACGAGTTTCGCTGCCAGTCCGTGACGGGTTTTTCAGAAGGAATCTGTCACAAATAGCCAATAACCCTTTTCTGTGTCTGGTTTGGTTCAGCCGGACACTCTGGGCGCCCTCCCCAACCTGAGAGAGCTCTGGCTCGACCGGAATCAGCTCTCCTCGCTTCCCCCAGTGAGTGCAGCCACCAGAATGCTTGTGTTGCGCTCTGAAACTTCACTGTGTGTTAATCTATCGTGTGTGTTTGTGTGTGTGCAGGAGCTGGGAAACCTCCGGCGGCTGGTGTGTCTGGACGTGTCGGAGAACCGTCTGGAAGAGCTTCCCTCTGAGCTGAGCGGCCTCCTGGCCCTCACCGACCTGCTGCTCACACAGAACCTGCTGGACGTGGTGCCCGACAGCATAGGTGAGGGGAGCAGGACCTGTGGACAGGCGGAGTGGCAAGATAACCCCCCCCCTACTGGCGGCGTTGGCGGCCTTTTGCCCGTCTGATGGCCGCCGATGCTTCAGAAGCAACAGCAGTTTTATTAAAATATGTGAAAAAAGCTGCTCTTTAACCCAGTCTTTAGCGACTGCTCTCGCTGTTTTTCCTCTGGAAAATAAGGTTTGTTTTTGATGAGAATTTGGCCTTAATTTAGAAAACGCTGGAACAGTGCTGCCCCCTGCTGGAACATGTGGCAACAGTGAAGAATTTCACCGTCCAGCAGAAAGACGCCGGTGGATGTGGCCTCTCCTGATGGAGTTGAGCCTCAACTGTCCCCCATTTTTGTCTCCAGGGTGTCTGAAGCAGCTGTCCATCCTGAAGGTGGACCAGAACAGGCTGACCCACCTGACCGACTCCATAGGGGAGTGCGAGAACCTCACAGAGCTGGTTCTCACCGAGAACCTCCTACAGGTACGGAGATCTCCAGACGCTGTCTGGCCTGACGCCCACACAACATTTTGTAGGCGGACCCCCGTTAACGGCCTTTGTCTGACTCCGCCCACGCAGTCCCTTCCCCGCTCGGTGGGCAAGTTGAAGAAGCTGACCAACCTGAATGTGGACCGCAACCGGCTGGGCGGCGTGCCCAAAGAGCTGGGCGGCTGCTCCAGCCTCAACGTGCTCTCGCTGAGGGACAATCGCCTGGGCAAGCTGCCCGCCGAGCTGGCGGACGCCACCGAGCTGCACGTGCTGGACGTGTCCGGAAACAGGTAGCCTGGCCCGGCCTCAGCAGGGCGCCAGAGACGTGGCGTCGTATCTCATTGTCCGTATTTTCAAAAAAAGGGGAAAAAAAGAAGCGTGTCTCGTCTCATTTCGTTCCCACTTTCCTGCAGGTTACAAAATCTTCCCTTTGCCCTGACAAACCTCAACCTGAAGGCCATGTGGCTGGCAGAGAACCAGTCCCAGCCCATGCTCAAGTTCCAGACCGAGGATGACGAGCGAACCGGAGAGAAGGTGCTGACCTGCTACCTGCTGCCTCAGCAGCCCTCCCCCAGCCTAGGTGAGCTTTCTGATTGGTCATCAAATGTGCAAGTATTGGCAAATCCCTTAAAAAAAAAAAGTTTTTTTTTAAACGCTCTTAAGTCACGCAGCACTCACATCTCACATCATTTCTCAGCTAGTCCTTTTACTGGCGATCGCTTTGGTTCACCCAGCCGTGTCAGATGTGACATCACCCCCCCCACCCTGACCCCCCCCCCTCCTCTTGACTCCCCTCAGAGAACCTGCTCCAGAACAGCGTGGACGACAGCTGGACCGACAGTAACCTGAACCGGGTGTCGGTCATCCAGTTCCAGGAGGAGACCAAGGCGGAGGAGGAGGATGACGAGGCCGCCGCCGAGCGCAGAGTGAGCGGCGGCGTCCCTGATGGGGGGGGGGCGCTCCCTGTTGTCTCTCTGCTCTCTAAAGGTTCCCCCCTCTCTCAGGGCCTCCAGCGCAGAGCCACGCCCCACCCCAGCGAGCTAAAGGTGATGAAGAAGGTGATCGAGGAGAGGAGGAATGAAGCCTACACTTCAAGACCTGACGGAGAAGAGGACGCTCTTGACCCAGAGGTGTGTGACTACGGTTTCTTAAAGGATACTTTTATTCGTCCCTTTTTGTTTTTTTGAGCCCTGCGGCAGGTTCTGACTACGGGTAAACGATGCTGTTGTTTCCAGGAGAAGCGTCTCAGTGACCTGTCCAACCAGAGCCACGACTCCCAGGCGTCCAACAGCACTCTGTCGGCCACCTCCCACGAGAACAGGCAGCACGCGGCCGCCGCCCAGAGGGAGGAGCTGCTGGACGGCCACGCCCCCCCGGAGGACGAGCTGGACGAGATGGAGGTGGAGTACATAGAGGTGATACGCCAACCCAATCCTTTTCCTTAAGGATCAAAGTGTCTTCATTGGTGTTCATATTCAAACATCAGACGTCCCATTTAAACAAAACAGTAGGATTCAAAATATACATCACAAGTACAGATCTTTCTGCTGCTAGACATCAGACATCAGACACCATCCGTATGGTCCGGACACTCGGGTTAAAAAAACTAAACAAATAAAAATGACAACAATAACAATAATAATCATTGAAAAAGGGGGAAAAAGGATGCTAATTATTATGGAGCAGATGGAAACTAAAAATAGGAAATAACAGGCTTCAAAACCTTAGAATATCTTAGTAGATCTAATGTTGTATTTTACGGTGTGCCATCGCCTCCTCTGTCCATCGTTTGTGAATCCGAATCCCTCCCCTTGTCTTCTCCAGCCCAGCGTGCACTTTGCAGAAGAGCCCATCATTCGCGGCGTGGAGGAAGATGACGAGGAGGACGGGGAGAACGGCGAGCGGAGCGACGAGGACGAGGAGGAGGAGCGGCCGGCCTTCCCCGCCGAGAAGCAGCGGCTGATCCGGAAGGACACGCCGCACTACAAGAAGCACTTCAAGATCACCAAGCTGCCCAAACCCGAGGCGGTGGCCGCCCTGCTGCAGGGCTTCAGCCCCGACGGGCTGGGCTCGCCCTCACAGGCCCCCCCGGACCGGGACCAGGAGGAGGAGGAGGAGGAGGAGGAAGAGGAGGGGGTGGGGGGCATGTGCACCCCGCAGCGCCACCGCAGGATAGAGGAGCTGGAGGACAGCAGGCAGCAGGGCAACTCCAGCCAAGTGAAGGTAAAAGAGAGACCCGGGCTGAGGCATGACGGAGATCCATAAGTTACCGAGCAGGACGCGCTTAGGCAGTCAGACACTTCTCACACCCCTCAGTAAACCGCTCACACCCTAAAGGGAAAGTCCCTCAGAACACACTGCCCTTGTGCTTTGATTCAAGCTCCAGCCAAATCCTGCAGGCACTAACAGCACAGAGATCTGAGCTAGACCAGAGAGCGCCCCCCAGTGGACGCCTTCCGCCCACAAAGGTCACATTCGCTTCAGGAACTCTGCCTTTCTTGCACAACATTGGCCCCAAAAGCACTAAACTTCTCACCATTACCGGCCACCTGCTGATTTAATTGAATAATGACATTTTTACACTCTGCTTTTATAACATTATGCGCATATGAATGAGACGAGTGGCGTCCGCTCAGTTTAATGAAGCTCCTTTCAATCTTTAGTTTTGGGGAAACTTAATGAGATTTGTTGATTTTTTTTAATTCAGTTATATTTTTTTCTATTGTGTTAATTTACAGAAATTCTTTTTAACACAAAAGATCATCTCACCAAATCTGTTATGTGTGTGTGTGTGTGTGTGTGTGTGTGTGTGCGCGCGCCTGTTTTTTTATGGGGGGGGGGTGGCCTGTTTGTGCTTGTGAACTCAGACCAACCAGAACTTTTACAGGCAGAGCTGGAACGCGAGATCCAACAAGCCGCGTTTGACCGATGTGGTTTCAGATTTAATAAGTTGAGCTTTTTACCTGAACTTTTTCATTTACATTTATCTTAGAATATTTCTATATTCTTTTAAGCTGGAACGGCTCTCGTACTTGTCCGAGGCTCTTCTGTTCTAGGCTTTCTTCTGGAAGAGAAGACCGTTTTGGTCGTTTTGGTTGTGGTTTGGGAGCTTTGGCCGTCTTTTGTCCGCTCTGTCTACACACTGGTGTGTATTTTGCTGCCTCAGCTCCTTGGCCTTGTCTTTCCACCTCTGCCTGTATTTGCTTTTGGTGGCTGGGGAGTGAATGCTGCTCACTTCTGCTTCAGGCTGGACCCATAACCTGACAGCAGATTGTGAAACAGAAGTGTGAGGTCTGTGGGGAGAATCAGTGGTGGTTTATTTTTTGTTTTTTTGTTGTTTTTTGTATGCTTGAGTGAATGCATATTTTCATTTTGGCCTGACTAATCCGCATGCTTCTCGCTGGTTCCTGTCCTAACAGGGGGTGTCATTTGATCAAGTCAATAATCTGCTGATTGAACCTGCTCGAATTGAGGAGGAAGAGGTCTGTACCTACTCTTTCCCGTCCAATCTGTGTATCTGTCCCCCACTCACCCACCCCGTCAACCCACCTGTGGAACACGAAGCCACAGCTAATCCCAGCCGGTCACATGGAAACCTCTAAGCACATCACAAGCGGGTCAGAGTGGCAGAACCTGGATGCAGGACCAAAGTGTTAGGAATTACTTTTTTCCAAAAAACACAACTCTACAGAGAGAGTTTTCCTGTTTGTGTTAGTGTTATTTTAACAAGATGCATGAAAGCCGGTCGCTCTCATGCTTCTTCCAGAGAGGCCTGTTATCAGTGGTTAATATTAAGAACAGGCAGTAAAAGCAAAAACAGAGTTAATGTCTTTATAATTCAGCAGAATCTGGAGTAAGACGCTCCAAATGGTCCAGATGTCTGCAGACTTTTGCCTTTTTGCTGTACTGGTAGTCACTTCCTGCATCCTGTGACTTTTCGGGCATTCCTTTGAAGGGTCCCGGACACGGGGAGACTTCATACCTCCCCTTCTGGACCGTGAAAGCGGCTTTAGTCCTACGGCAGGTTCTGGCACACTGCAGCCCGCCTGCCTTCCCTCTGCATCTGCTGCTTTGCTCCCTCTCATCCCGCCTGTGGTGCCTTGCTCTGGAATAAATGGGCCGGTTGTGCTGTCGAGACGCAGATATAACTCCACCCACTTCCCCCACGCCAACATTTAGGTTTACCTTCAGAACAGAGATGGTATATATTTTGAGAAGGAGCACTTCTTTGGTTGAGTCTTGTAAACATGATAAATGACAGACGGCCATTGTTTGAAATGCAAGAAAGAGCATGTTTGGTGTTTTCTGTTTGTCTTATCCTTCTGTCATATATATATTTTCCCATCAGTTTCTTATGCATGATTTAACATGATTTCATTTAGTCCATGTTAAGAAGCATTTAGTTCTCATTCATGAGATGATTAAACCTTAATGAGTGATGCCATCTCATCCCAGCAGTAGAGACTCCAAAGTATTCTCCACTTTTCTTCTGTTGCTGTTTCCCTTTCCCCTTCATTTTGTTCCTCTCTCTGTTCCTCCCCTTTTCTGCATGGCTTACAAATGCACACAATACACAACCTGTCCACTTTCCATTTCCTGTCTATTCTCATACATGCACCAGACAGGTAGAGTTAAAGTGGAGAGGCCCTCACACAGCGTGTTTAATGGTTACAGGTCCATGATTTGGCCTCCATTTTCCTTCCATGCTTTAGATTTTACCTTAAGGAAACGAGACAGGCACAAAATCATTCATCCTCCATTCAAACTGGCATCAGGCCTCTCCGCCTGACTGGCGCCATCTACTGGCGGACAGAAGGAACTAGGAACTAGGACTGACTTTAGGATCTGACTGTAAGCGCGGGCGGCCCTGAGCCCCGCCGTGCGTTGTGGGCTGTCACTGCCGTGTGCTGACGTCGCCCTGCTCCCGTTGCAGCACGCACTGACCATCGTGCGCCAAACCGGCGGCCTGGGGATCAGCATCGCTGGGGGCAAAGGATCCACCCCTTATAAGGGAGATGATGAGGTGAGGCGGGCGCCTGGACCTTATTCGGGCCTTCATAAAAGCTAAAAGCCCCCCCCTCCCTGTGGTTTACCGGTATTTTCTGTCTGGTTGTGCTTTCAGGGAATCTTCATCTCCAGAGTGTCTGAGGAGGGTCCGGCTGCCAGAGCCGGGGTGAAGGTGGGAGACAAGCTGCTGGAGGTAAAGGCTCCCCGGACGCCTGCTGGTCAGTCTGTGGCGTTTTTCAAAGCGTTAACACCCCCCCGCCCCCGTCTCTCTGTGTCTCAGGTGAACGGCGTGGACCTGCACGAGGCGGAGCACCACACGGCGGTGGAGGCGCTGCGCAGCTCCGGGGCCACCGTCTCCATGACGGTGCTGCGGGAGCGCATGGTGGAGCCGGAGAACGCCATCACCACCACGCCGCTGCGGCCTGAGGACGACTATTTCCCGCGCGAGAGGCGGAGCAGCGGCCTGGCCTTCAGCGTGGAGCCCCCCCCCAGCGGCCCGCGCCAGCGCTTCTCCACCTGCCTGATGCGCAACGACAAGGGGCTGGGCTTCAGCATCGCCGGGGGCAAAGGCTCCACGCCCTACCGGACCGGAGACACGGTGAGAGGCTCCACCATGCCTCGGGGGGAGTAAGGGGGGAGCGAGGGCTGGTTCCCACCACAAGTGAATTATGACCAACGTCACAGAGCTAATTGGGAGATGGTTTCCCTCTGAAGGCCCGCTGGCCCAATCTCACATTTAAAGCTCTCTGATGAGTTCCAAACTCCAGGAAAAACTAAACTCTCCTCACGACGAGCTCATGCAGTTTAACAGCACTGTGAGGCTCCTGTGAAGCTCCAGGCCTCTGTGTTCAGTCATCTCCACGGTGACGGAGATAAGAATAGCCGGCCTTGTAACTCGATAGATGGGCTGTAATTGGACGGAGGGCCGGCGCCGGAGAGGTGCCGCGTCGCGTCTCACGCGGCCGAGGCAGCGTCCAGAGAGCAGAGGACTGGTGAAGGCACGGTTTGGGCCTGACTTTCAGAAGCCGTTTGAAGGGATGCGCTGACCCGCCTGGTTGGTAATCGATCGGACGCGGTGGCCGGCGGGACTTTGCCCCCTGCTTGTGTTTGCACGTTGTGTAAAGGCGAAAGCGGCTGGCGGCTGTGCTCGGTCCCACTTTGTTTAACCAGTCCGGGCAGAGGAGGATTAATACCTCAGACCGGATGCTACTGGCAGTCATCTGCATGATCTGGAGTTTGTGGCGTTGTGGGCTGCTTCTGCTCTGCTAAGAGCAACTTGAAGTGGAATCCAGCGTGTTTGTTTTAAGGCACATACTGACTGAACAGTAACTGAGAGGGTCAGCACACCGATTCCCCACCAACAGGCTTAATACCGCCCCCTGAGAAGTTTAACTATAACCCCATTCCTGTTAACGTGTAGTTTAGCCTGAGAAAGCTCATAAAATCATTTGAGTACCAGTTTTTATTTCTTTACTTTTTAATCTGCCTGCCTTTAGGGGATCTACATCTCTCGGATCGCAGAGGGGGGAGCGGCGCACAGAGACAGCACGCTGCGAGTGGGCGACCGGGTGATAACTGTGAGTACTATCAAGCCTCCCCACGTGGCGGCTGCCACCTGTTGAGAACAGGCGTCCCTTTATAACATGAAATAATGCCTCGGATCGTATTTTTACAGTATGTCCTGTTTTAATTTATAGTTGTTTCCACTGTGCTGCTTTTTTCACTAAACCCGAAAAGGAACGCAGTGTCCTTAAATGCAAATTCATGACTTGCAAATCTCATAGTTCCTAACATTATTTATAATAGGACACAGAAAATGACTCGTGTATGTATAATGTATAATTATGAGTAAGAATCCTTACAATTCCAGCATTTTCTGTGCTAATCACTTTGTAAACTTGCCTTTGCCTCCCTCTGTCTGACTTAACTCTGCTGTGTGGGATCCTCTTTGCTTCCTCTCCCTGGGGCATTTTCCTCTCGCTTCCCGCTTTCTGTGGTCTCGCCGGCTCCTTCTGCGTGCTCACTAATGCGCTGAGAGCGTCTGCTTGCCTGCTCGGTGGTGGGTTGGTGTCGGGTGGTGAGGGCTGAGCGTGCGGCCCTGCTGGTGTGGTGGCCGCCCGCCGCCACAGCAGCAGGGCGCCAGCCTCCAGTAAGAGCTGGTACCTGTCGGGTCAGTGCTGGTCTCCGATTGTCACAGAGAGAAGCCTGTAAAACCGCATGCCTGGAAGTTATTCCTTTCTTTCCAAAGGCGAGGGTTAAACTGCTACACGTATACAGAAAAGTGTGTCCAGATGCCACTTTGGTTTGCCTTTGTTGACTTAAGATCAAACGTCCTGGAGGGGCCATTTGTGTTTTAAGTAAACAAAGGCAAGAGAAGCGAGAGAATGTGTAGAAGTGCTTAAGTTCAAAGATGTCGGCATGAGTCAGAAGAATGAATTTAGGAGTCTGATTTCAAAGAAGACTAAACGGCTTTGCTTGCTCGCATCTTCTCTCCCTCGGTGACCCTCTGCCAGCTCAACTTTTCCTGCAGCAGCTTGCTTTCCCTTTTCCTCTAAAGCAGATGTGTCAGACCCCAAAATGCGGGGTTTGTAGATGGCACGCGTCACCGTGCCAGTTTCAGATGATGGCTGGTGCGTGGCGGCGGGCTGACGGCCGTGGTTGGTTTTGCTGTCGATCCAGATCAATGGTGTAGACATGACAGAGGCCAGGCATGACCAGGCAGTAGCGCTCCTTACTGGCACCTCCCCCACCATCGCACTACTAGTGGAGCGAGACCTGAATGCACCAGGTGGCTCTCCAGGTCAGAACCGGGCCCGCGCCCACTCCCCTCCACCCCCAGAACCCTCCGATTCCCCGGACCAGGAGGAGGACGGCCTTCAGGGGAACCACCTGGGCCGGATGGAGGATGAGTACCCCATCGAGGTGAGAGTGAGGGCGTCGTGTAGAGTAGTTCACTCTGTGGACGTTTGACTGGACAGTGCTGTAGAAACCTCAATGGAGCTTAATTTCTGTTCCTGTGGGCCCCTGCCTCACCCCTAATGCTGCCCAGGTCCAGAGAGGATGGTGCATGGTATGACAGTGTGCTGTAGGTCCAGACCTGCTGAGACTGTAGCTGCATGCAGTAGAAACCTGT